GCAGTTCAACTTTACAAGGTTGTATATGTTATTGTTCTCAGATAACGATGCTTACCTTGCCTGTTATAGTTTCCGAGTTGGTGCAGGTGCAGAAAAAAACATTTAAATTCTCAATAGGCAATGTCCATCATATACCTTTGAAACAATTAGACCATCACAATTTATTTTTTAACATAACAATTACCCATACAAATGTGAAAATGCAAAAAAAACCAGACTATCTCGACTTGCTGGATATGACAAACAGTGATCAGCATTATCTTCATGAGTAATGACCAATCCACCACAGGATGAAAGCTTCCCAAAGCTGTGGCCATCTGTCACAGTCTTGCGATGCAACAACCTATCTAGCACCTGCATATAAGCCGATATCATTGCTCCATCTCTGTTGTAGATGTCCTGTTGGGTGTGCGCCCTACTTTGACTGCCACTCCACTGTTAATCTCACCACCGACAGCATTTGGCCGATATGAATTTCCACATAAGTCAATTCGATGAACAATCATTTGTGGGCCAGGTCGCTTCTAAAAGAGCTATATAGCTCAGTCGACCTTACCTGGTAAAATTACGCTTTTTTATCCCGTATCGTCAATTGTCTTACTGAAATCCACTTACTTTTTGTAACAGTGAATATGTCTCAAAGTTGCATATGTCCTTAAACTCATATATTCCTCTTTCTGGCTCTATGTGTAATTCCAAGCACGCACATATACCAATATGCAGAGCTCCTTAAATTATAAGTATTCTACATTGGGCCTCTTGCAATTAAATGTACAATGGTTCAGAGAACCAATCTGCAATTTCAGCAAAACAAAATTACAAGCATATTTTCATGGCGATGCTGACCTAACCCAGTTCGACATTGCTGCAGCATGTACCTTTCAAAAACATGTTGAAAACATCCAGCTTTTATGCATGTTAAGCAAAGTCAAAACAATTATCAAACTGTTTGCCAACAGCACCTGTCAGCTGCATCTTAGCTCCAAGTGTGTGTTTTTTCACTTTTTTATTTGGCCCATGGGCTCAGAAGCAATTTCACTACGGAAACTCCAACAGAAAGCCAGCAGCCAAACCTCAGCCTCCGATAACCCAGGCAGCACTTTCAAGGTCAGGCGTTCAGGTGAAAAGGTCCAACCGAGACTATAGTTATATCTGGTCTGTCCACACAATGAAAACAGGAAAGCAGGATATCCTGTGCACACTCCATCTGCTTCCAAAACCAGCTCAATTTTTTCACCGAATGAAGAAGCAGACACATAAAAGCAGTAAATGACTGGAATCCACTAAGCACTTGTCATAATTACGTCAGCCAAGGCAGTGTTATGGTGCAACGTGTCTAACATCACTTCCGTCTTTACATTGTGGACGTTTAAGTTTAAAAAAAAAAAAGATCCACAGGACCAGTCAGCATTATATATATACAATTCAAAAACCAGCTGACTGCAACGCATTGTGATAACCCAAATCAATTAAATTAGCACAGCTCTGCTTTCTATCAAGATGCATACCAGCGCATGCACCCAAGTGCTGTTAAACATAGAGGGTTGTCCAATGCTTGCCAGATTCTCCCACAACGGGCTTCATTAGCATTCAGGACGAATAGCAGCAGTACCCATGTGGGGTACATAAGAAACATTTACATTATATCCTGCTTCCCCCATTCCACTGAAAATGGATTTTATTTTTACAAACAGTACACACAGTACACTTCCTATTTCCAGTGGGAAAAGCAAGTTATTTAAATAGCAGAAGATCCCATTCATTGTACATACTGTACTCACCCATGACTCTTTCTACATGATGTCCTTATTTAGGCATTTACCAAAAAATATGTAATTTGTCACAGAAAGTATGAAGAAATCAAACACTTCAAAGTATTCTCAATATACAGTAATGTTTAACCACGTGAAAATTTACGGTGACATGGGAATTTTTTTTTTATTTCTAAACAATTTGCAAGTTAATTTCACAGCATTCAAAAAGCTATTTTGGTTTCAAAATAACGATGCATATTGATGAATTACATGTTTCCATCGACAAGTCAATAAACAGACAAGGCAGAGTGCACCGAGAGGAAGGTTGAGGACCAGATTCCCACGCTCGGGGCACTTGCTAGCTGGGCTGTTCATTGCAGCCTCTTTATCTGTGTGTGCCTTCTGGCATTAACATCTGCCACGCACGCAGGCATCCACTCTTAACATTGCCTGCCTGCCAGGATCACATGGTCACAGTGGAAGCAGAAGGCCGACCACGAACGCGTCCCGCTCAACAAGTATCTGCCGTGAATAGAACAAGCAATGCGATCTTTTATTTTCTTTTACGGCACGCTGATTCAGTTTCAGCCACGCCCAAGTCAGTGTATATTCACACACAGTGTCGCGTCAACTCAAACACTGTATCATGGGGACCCACCCACGGGAGAGTTTTACGTGTCTAAAATTCTGCAGCTCGCAGCAAAAATGTTGACGCTACTTCTTTGCAGTGTATCTTTGGGCCTCGGTTGAGAAACATTACACAATTAAACGATGGACAAACTGCTCTAATAACTGTGCCAAATAATGTGAGGCAACTAAAAAATATTATTCTGTCCTATGGATACAGGTGTACATATAAGCAATGATGGGAATATAATGGAAGACTATCGTAAGCAGCTTGAAAGTCAGGATTAGAAGGTGGCAAGAACATGTTACAGATTTAACCAGGAATAAGTGTATCTATTGATGCAACCTGTGCTCAACAGAGGATGACTGGCTGCTGAGAGAAGCATTGGAATAGCACAAATTGTTGGTGACCAATGGGAAGAGCTAAAGCCAGATGCAGTAATAGGATACTGTAACAGTGGATCTTGGAGGTCAGAGGTCGACTTTACATTAACTACGGGATCTGGCAGAAGGATGAAAGCAATGGCTAGGTGTGGTGGCATCACAGCAATGGCATGTTAACCTGTTCACCTCTAGCTTAAAAATACTACATACATGACACTGTCTTGCCAATTTGTAAATTTATGAATGTTAAAAGACATGTCTTTGGTCAAGAACAATTTGTCCAATACCACTTTCCTCTAGTCATATGGAGCAAATGTTAACTCTGGTTTGGAGATAAATGATGTCTGCTGAGGGTTTTCTAAGCACCCTAAGGTGTGGCACAATGAGCAGTTGAGAGAATGATTCATTGTGCTTTGGCATCTATTAGTAATACCCAATGTGGGCACTTTAACACACTCAGCCTGATCTATGTTCAATGCATTATTAAGTAAAGATCAACAACTTCAGTGTGGTTGCTGTATACGTATTATCATTGAAATAAATAACGCTATTGTAAGTGTAATAATCATCCTATAATCTGATCCATTATATGGTGGCTTGATATATTTAAATGTATAGGTCTGATCTTTGAAACTGTTGTAAACTTGGTCAAAATCATTCTACCCTATATGCCAGCTCTTTTTATCTGTTGTTGGCAGCGAGGACGTAGCTATTAAAACAAATAAACCACATCCCTACACGTAAAGAAATGCTTGCATGTGTTTAAATATGATATGTATATCATATGATATGTATATCATATTTAAACATCAAAACGGGTATAGAAAATATAATTTATTCAGGTCAACACTGTATAAAAATTAGCACTCAAAACCACAGCAAATTCCAAGAAAACGTTATTCGTTCCATTTCTATAAATGTATTGCAGTTTTTGGAAAATGATTGCTTGTATTTGGCCACACTAAAAAGTACAAATGCAGTATTGTACTATACCGTCCAAAAATACTGTCAACGTTAATGCGAGAACAGGTTTTTTTCGAAACTAATAATGCAACAAAACACGTCGCGTAAACGTAGCCCAAGGAATGAACAGGAGGTGTATAAAGTAACACGGGGTAGGAGGATTACTGTACCGCTGGTCAATCGTGAACGCAGTAAAATTTTGTAAATAAGCAGCGTCATCAGTTGTTTAACTGGAACCTCCTGATCGAGGGTTCTGGTCTTCACATTCTTCACGAAAATAATGGTATGTGCCTTTGGAAGTACAGTACTGCGAGTGGTTTCAGAATAAAATGTGAACATTTGCATTTTAAGAGTTTAAAAAAACACATCAGTTGGCTTATACAGGCGAATACACACATCCACTATTGACCAACACGTAAAGCTGCAAAGCAGAGTTTAGGTTAAAATCCTAAAATAAAGATTTGTATCGCAGTGTTTTTGACCACAAGATTCCTGCAAAGGTTATCACCACACACACAAAAAACCCACAATGGAGTAGTGTACTTGGCGTGATGTATTTTATTACGCTCGTAACATTACCTGAGAATGCAAACATCAGTACATAATTTCACATTGCTTGCTGCAAAAAGATGCTACGTCAAATATTGCCTCGACAGATAACGCTGCTCACACACATTAACTCACATAGCACTGTACAGGACTTCCAATGGCTATTGACCAGTTGCATACAACGCCGTTATTACCGTATTTCCACCAACTGTGCCACTTAAAGCAGTGCAGGTTAATGGACATAACAACAATCGGTGTTTTTAATGCAACTGGCCACAGAAAAAACAACGCCGACAACGCTGTGCTTCAAAGGCACGTCCTGTGTAGGAATGTCCCAATGTCGTTGTTTACACAACAACGCGACAGCTGCATTGCAAACACGCGCACACAAACAACACACTGCCATTTAAATGACCGTCATTTAAACAACAGTCATTTAAACAAACACCAACCCACACTTTCGTCGCCACTCTAGGCCCTCACGTCATTGCATAACCGCGTCGCCTGAGCGCGACATCGTGCGGCCTTACCACACACACCCCGACAAACGACGCCTCGGCCTCGCCTAGATATCCAACCGAGTCAAGGCGGTCAGGCCCGGCCGGGCGCATAAGGCCAAAGGCACCTCCACCCCACCCCCCCCCGACCAACCACACAACACCTTCCGCTCCCCCACCGGCACCCACCGGACACCCGCTCGCGGACGCGAAGGAACCAACTCACCTTTCTTCTCGCGATCGTACCCGACGATCACGAAGTAATCGACCAGTCTATCCATGCTGCTGAGCGGCGGGCGGCCCGACGGGAGCGGCAGCGCTCAGAACGCATCACTCGTCCGGAGGGGAGGCCATCCTGCCATAGCGCCTTGACGGGGGGGGGGTGAAGGGGGGGGGCAACCACATTCCCTAGCGCGCATAGGTACGCTAGCCCCTCAGTTTCGGCTCGCGCCATTGGCCGGCCGAGGGCGGTTCGCGCCGGTGGGCCAATCGCGAGGCGCGCCGAAGCGGCCGCGCCTATGCGCGTTGGGGAATTCAATGGCGCATCGGGGGGGGGGGGGTGGCGTGTAACGTCACGCGCACGACGACGAGGCGAGCGTTCAGGCGGTCCTATGCGCATGCGCACTGCGGTACTGGGTGGACCCCCCCCCCCCAACTTGTGACTGACAGTGGAGGGGTCACACGGGGGGGAGGGGAGGGTGAGTTCTTGGGCCTCTGGATCTTGATGGGTGAAGTCAGATTAACACCCAGCAAGCTTTCTCGACAAATGTCATCCACTATAGGGGGCTTTTGTTTAGTTTATTTTGGGTTAGATCGCGTTAAATATATTAGGGTGTCTTCTTGGTTCTTTCGGTAAAGTCAGATGAATCCCTGCAGTCATCTTCTTGGTTCTTTCGGTAAAGTCACGTAGAAGGGAAGTAATAAAATAATAAAAATAAAACACAATAAAATAATATAATTTTATTGTGTTTTATTTTTATCGAAATTTATAAGTGTGTAGTTAAACCCGCCACCACCCGATAGGGACAATTTAGTGAGGTTTATCTTCTGGGTTCTTTCGGTAAAGTCACGTAGAAGGGAAGTAATAAAATAATAAAAAATAAAACACAATAAAATTATATTATTTTATTGTGTTTTATAATAAAATTATATTATTTTATTGTGTTTTATTTTTATTATTTTATTACTTCCCTTCTACGTGACTTTACCGAAAGAACCAAGAAGATGAATCCCTGCAGTCACGAAAGCTTTAAATCGAAATTCAGTGAGGTTTGTTCACGTAAAACATAACGTGGCCAATTCGTTGCTAGCACAGCAGCACAGCGCTGTGTTGGAGAGAAAATCCACAACATTTACAATCTTGAGTACGACGTTTCCCCCGGTAATTACGACTAGCTTCATCAATTGGATGTGTCGGGTGGTGGCGGGTTTAACGACACATTTATATAATTACGCGATCTAACCCCCCCCCCCCCAAATACTCTTGTTATGGGTGAAAGGAGAGAGAAACGGAGTGGGGGGGGGAGAGTAGGGCTTTTATCACTGTGGGGATGAGGTCACGGAGTGAGTGAGGTGGGGGGGAGCAGGGAAAAGTGGGAGCAGGGACTTGTCAGTGGATAAGTCAAGAGGCCGTCCATAAATGACGTCACGCACCTGGGGGGGGGGGGTCAGACGTATTTGACGAAGGGGGGGGGGGGGTGTTTGAGAAATATGACGTCAGATCAAAATGCGCAACTTTAAATATAGACAACACGTTCTACTTAATTACATAGACTTTTTAATAAATGTTTTCGCATACAACATCAGAGTGCAGCGCCACATCAAATACGCACTGCAATGACAATAGGTTAAAGCGATTTGAAGCATGTTTTATTTTGTGGGGGGGGGGGCAGACCTTTGTGACGTCATATTTGAGGGGGGGTTCTGACTTTTTGTGACGCCATGTGACAACGGAGGGGGGGGGGCAAAAATCGTCCAAAATCGCGTGACGTCATTTATGGATGGCCCCCAAGTCACTCGACAGTGGGGGGGGCGGGGTCAGAGTTGTGTCAGTGGAGGCGTCAGGTCACTGGGAACAGGGGAGGGTGGGAAAGGAATGAGGTTAGGGGAGGTGGAGTAGTAAGGAACTGTGAAGACTGGGGAGAGCAAGGTCTTGCACCTGGAAGGGTCAGCTCATGGGGTGGGTTGTGGGGGGTTCAGGCGAGAAATAAGGAGGAGTAGGGGAATCAGATAAGTATGGGGGGGGGGGGAATCAAAATCTTATCAGTGGATGGGTGGAGTCACGGGGTGGGAGGTAGGGGGAGGGTAGGGGAGCAGTGAGTAAGGGAGTGTAAGTGGATGAGGCTTAATCGAGGGAGCAGGGTCTTTTACCTTGGAGGGATCAGGTCACCTGGAGTAGGGGGGGGGGGGTAGGAAGCAGGAAGGAATCAAGGAGAAAGGATGGGGAGGGCTTTACTACTGGAAGGGGTAGAGTCGATGGATGGAGCAGGAATCAGAGTAAAGGAGGAGGATCAGGCAACTGCTTAGTGGACTGGAGGAGCTAAGACACGGGGATGAATTGGGGGACTGGGATCTTGTCAAAGGATCAGGTCAGTGGGTGTAGAAGGAACCGTCTCTCCGCCTGGGGCAGAGCGCAAAGGGCCCTGGTTGAAGAGACACTAATTCAATGGTAAGCGGAGGGGAGGGGGGCAGCAATGCCGAAATCCAGACTCAAGCAGGTTTAAATCACCCAGGGGCAGGGTGGATCCCAGGCCCTGTCCTCGCAAGGGATAAATCATCACCAGGGTGAAGGGCATAAGAATGTTGGAGCTGCATTCAAAACCCCTTCAGATGTATATCTGTTCCATCAGCTCGTGTGTAGTAAGTGCTTGGGGGTGATTGGTACATTCCAGGACTGTAAGCGATGGCAACGGCTTTGGGGAGGTGGGGGGTGGGGGTGCATCATCCAGCAGTAGATTGATTATCGCTGACAATGATGATGATCTAGACCTCTAGCAAGTCCATCACCACGTGTTTAAATTGTCCCATGAGCTTGTAACATGCATTCGAACACAGCCAGAGCGTGCTGGCTGTGCCTCGTAATTGTAGCCACTGAATGTTACGGGACATTTAACACGACATGCTTAAGTTAATGATATTGCATTAAAATACGACTACGTGGTAGCTGCCTGCTGGTAAATGTGCTGTCGTGTGCTGAGATCATTGTTGCAACACCAAACACTTGCAGACTTGTGTCCCCATCACATTGAAACCTCTGCCCTCCCACCCGTCCTGTATGTGTCCTTAACGTCTGTCGCACCGTACGTGCTATTCGAAGGTGCGTGGAAGAACAACAAACTAAACGTAAAAAGCAATTCTAAAGAAATTAGTTTTCAGTCCAGTGGCTTCCTAATATCGGAAGGAAGAGCGCTCCAGACGGCCGCAGAAGCGCGTCTTAAAGTACGCGATGCGGTGACCGTCTTTGTTCGATGGCCAGCCAAAAGCCACTGCGAGGATGACCGGAGTTCGCGTGACGATGATTTATGCTCCTGGACGAGATCGGCAAGGTATTGTGGTTCATTTGTGGCAAGCACTTTCAGTGTATGCTGTCGTCCTGACAACAGGTTTGCTATATGCCCAAAAGTGTTAACAAAGACAAATGCCTGCATGTCAGTCCAAGGTGACGCGCCTACGAGGCATCTACCGTCTGCTCAGACACGTATAATGACATCACGAGGGCGGTTGTGGAAGGTTCGGGTGTGAGCATTGTTTTTGTGAAAAAAAGATCTTCTGCATGGTTTGGATAGAACCCCTTTAACATCTCCCGTAAACAGGCTGGAGGCTGCTGCTATCTTGCTGAGAACACGCACTCCCCAACGCTAAAATGGAATGGACACGGCACCAAATAGTTTGTGATAATGTATCATTTTTACGGACCCACACTGGCCAGAACAGGGGAGCATCGCCACATAAGCCCCATGACCTAAATAGCGTGGGAAGGCCTGTTCGTGGATTTGCAAAGGAGTTTTAAGGAATAACATCAAAAATGAAAGTGTCTCTTACATTTATGAGCACTATAAGTGCTTTGTGCCCCTTATTTCCATGAGCTGCTTTGTAGTGGTGTTGGAAATCCCGACAATTCGCTGCATAGGACAATGGCTGTTCACTTCCCACTAATCGGTGTTCTCTGGAGAGTTATTGTGTTGGGTCCAGCCGAATAGAATTTGAACTTATGATGTTGCAATAATGAAGCCACTGCTCTCTCGGGAGAGAATATGTATGATCCAACAAAATATTAACGAGCACTGCCCGCGCATTTGTAGGGGATACACGGTGCCGGGATGGAGGGAAGGTGGAGGACGGCGGAACATCATGCACGCACGAACCCAGATCAACACAGCATACTTTTTTTATTCAAACATATTTTTTACAAAATTAACTATTGAAATTGTTTTCCCACACGTAGCGATTTCGTTTGTTCTCTTCTCGAGCAGGTGGATCCCTCTCCTAATTCTCTTAGACTATTTTGCTGCTTTTGTCACAATAGTCCACTCAATCCTCCCTTAAGAACCCCCATTAGCATGTGTAGTGACATAGGACGTCACTTCTGTGTAGGCCCGTACGAGGGCTGGGGGCCCCAAGAGGGTGCCTGTGGGGTCACGTGGTGGAGGGACCCAAATCTTCCCGTGAGGTGGGGGAAGGGAGGCGTGGCCTGGGAAGGGAGGCGTGGCCTGGGTGGAGCCGGCCACGCCGGAGCGGATATAAGCGGGTTGTGGATGCAGAGCGGGGCTGTTGAACTCCGAAGTGAAGACGACATCATCGGTCCTCAAGTCCCGGGTCGTCGTCCTGGACCAGGCAGCCCGTTGCCTGCCTGGTCCACTCTGTGTCGTGTTCCAGAGTGTTAGTGAGTTGAGGAAGGTGGTCACCACCTCATGTACAGTGTTATATTACTTACCGTTTAATAAATAGTGTTTCCTCCAAGCTGTGTGTGTGTACCTAATTCGAACCCACTACACATGCATCCATCTGCAGCACACTCCTCTCCTGGTTCAACTCACACCTTTCAAAGCACTCCTATGCCATTTACATGAAAAGGCCTGTCTTCCTCTCAGGAACTGCTGTGCTATGATGTTTCACAAGGTTCGAAAAAACCCATCAACTCCAATCTCCAGATGACCCAAAATTCTACTGTGAGACGTCTTTTCTTTGTACCCATAAATGTGACCACGTCACCGAATGATGGCTCTGTGGGCTACCGTCCACTCGCAGATCATTGGCGTATATATTTTTACGTATCTATTTATCTTGTGTATCTGGTACTCTAACTATGTGAAAGTCACGTGTGAAAGCATTCGCTAAATATAATAAGCTCCACTGGCTGCCAGTGAAATTCTGGATCAATTTCA